AGTTTTATAATAAAAAAGTAAACAAACTTAATTTTATAAAACCACAACTAACACTTGGATCTCTGCATGAGTCAAGCGTTCATCCTCATCTCATACACCATCACCAAGCATGTTCCACACGAGCGTGTGTGTGTGTGTGTGTGCATGTGTGTGTTACTGGGCACTAACCCAGGGCCTTCACATTGAGCTACAGCCCAAGCAATTTTATTATTTATGTCTTTATTTTTGTCTTTTTGAGACAGGGTCTCACTGTGTAGTTCAGGCTGGCCTTGAGCTCACTTAGTTACCCAGGCTGGTCTTGAACTGGCAATGATCCTCCCGCCTGAGCCTCCCAAGGGCTGGGGTTAGAAGCATGCTCCTCCTGCTTTTACCAGCTTGTTTCTTAGTTTACATGCTTGCTTTGCTATGAAATTCTCTTCTTCTAAATGATGCTGGAATTGTCAGCCGTATTCTTTACCTCAAAGTTTGGCAATCAAGGAAGAAACCATTCGTCCTCAAACACAACCATCAGGACCTCAGGGTAGTTAGTTTTCTCTGTAAATTAACCAGTGCTTGGTGTGTGCTTTAATGTTAGGATACCAGGAGCAGACCTGAGGAGCACAGGGCGTGAGACTGTGAGGCAGAGGGAGCCGACATCCCTTCCGTTAGCTGTCCGATCAATCAGAACTGAGGAAGAATTCCAAACCTACTTTGAACAGATGAATCTTCACTGATTCTTTCATTTAAAAGAGTGATGGGCTAGCTTAGACATTGTCACTCAGCAAAGCCATGGTGGAAGCCGCCAATTTTCAGGAAAACTGCATGATAAATGTGCTAAAAGCAAATCAGATGATCAGTTTGCCAAGTTCCTGAAGATTTATTTTAGCATCTTGCCTGGGGTTGGCGTCTTTAATCCTGTGTGGATCCGCTCCTATCCCGAAGGAGGTGCCAGTGTGGGGACTGCACAGCTCCCACACCTTCCCTGGCCCCCAGGGACTGGGCCTGAGATCCTGGATGTGCTCCCTGCCCCAGCTCCAGTGAGTAGACATTGAAATCTCTGCATATTTGAGAGCCTTTCCTTTACAAAGTTGTAGAAATATGCATTATCTGGACTTTGATACAGATGGCCACCTTGCCACCCCATTAGCAACGGTGCCAATTTATAGTCTACGCTTGTGCCCACCAAGCATAAGCCATTGGTTGGCATCTTGATTTCAGTTCTACTCCTGCCAGCTCTGATTGGGGCTGTTTCCACCCTTGCCAACACAGAAGAGTAGGAAGTTTGCTGCACTGCTTTCTCCTGTGTACGTCTTGGTTCATGAAACTGAACCATGCCTTGATCCTGGGGGCCCACCTTAGCTTCTTGCCTCACACACCTGCTCAGGTCCTTTGTGGATTTCTTAGTGTTGAGCTTTATCTGCACAAGAATATTGGTCTTGCACATTAGTCTTCCCTGCTTGCCTTTGATTTTGCTTAATGTGTTTTTTTGGTTTTTTGTTTTGACAGAGTCTACAGGGTGTTCAGGGTCTCACTGTGTAGATCAGACTCATAGGGATCCTTCTGTTTATAGCCTCCCAAGAGCTGGGATTAAAGGTGTGTACCACCACGCCCAGTCTCAATCACCATCTCAGCATGCCCTGGGGGCCAGGCCGACGTGGCAGGCCTGGGGATTGAACTCCTAGCCCCTGTGTCTGCTTGAGCAGGCACTTTAATCCACTGAGCTATTTGGCCAGTCCTTATTGTGATTTCTGAACTCAGTTTTCATGATCATCCAGTCAATTGCAAGCGCCATCTCCTCACTTTGTGTTTCCTTCTTCTAGGTCTTCTATATCCTGAGTTCTGAGTATCCTTGTATTTTTCTTGTTTCTTTCTTTAATTTTTAATATGCATTTGGAAATTATGTGACTATGTTTCTACAGTTGTTTACTTTTAAAATAAAACTTGGGCAGGATGGGTTGGAGCTGGGAAGATTTCTGGTAAGACTGGCGTTGGATAATCACGGCCATAAGGACATGAGGACACGATGCTGCAGCCCCAGAGTGAGAAATGTTAGTAGTTCTGCCTGATTCCTCCCTTCGGGCCCCCGAGTAGAGTTAAACCGTTAGCTGTAGTTTGCATCACAAATTATCCGTTTTCCTAGCTGGTATTGCATGGAGCAACTTTTTGTTTTCTTGTTTTTTGAGACAGAGTCTTGCTATGTAGCCTAGGGTAGACGTGAACCCACTATGTAGTCCAAGTTGGCCTAAAGCTCACAGTGATCCTCCTGCCTCAGCCTCCCAAGTGCTGGGCTTATGGGTGCAAGCCACCATGCCTGGCACATGGACAGATGTTATTGTCAAAAGAAAATAATCAATTTAAAGTACAAGCTTGAAATGAACCAGGGAACTCATAAACCCCACAGTGTAGACCCAAGAACCCTCTCGGAATCTTTCTCTCCAACTTCCGCACATACCTAGACTTTTAAAAGTTAATCAGGGGGCTGGTGAGATGGCTCAGTGGTCTAAAGCACCTACTTAGAACAAGCTTAGCAAAGTACAGGGACC